CATGAAATTGGACCACTGTAGGAAGTGCCACCTCTCCTATATAAGCTGCAATAATATCCAGCCTCATCCTCAGCCTGGAGCCCAGAAATGGTCATGAAGCCTGTGTTTCCAGACCTGGAGCCAGAGAAGCCACAGGGACCCCTAAAGCCTGAATACTGACACCATAAATCATGGGTCTGAGAACTGTGTCACCCATTGTTTTGGGGCTAAGAACAGAAAGGCTCTGCAGCAGGTGCAGGCAGGGGTGTGAGTGTCCTGCTGTTGGGCCAGAGAAACCAGCAGACTCCACCATAACAGGGGATAGGGCACAGGAACTGAAACTTGTGCTTAAGGCAAAGCTTCAGGGGAGAATCCTACTGTAGACTCATGGGATTTAGCAACCAGTCTATGTCATGTGCAGTAGAGAATTATTTATCTTTTGAAAACAACCTCTCCTATGTTCGTGGGCTTTGTTATATCCAGAACCACGTGAGACAGCAGTGACCACACAGCCAGACCTGCGAGATCCCCCCAGTCATGAGCTCAGGCAGGGCACGAAATGATCCACAGTGAGACGGATGTGGCTCATGTAGGATGGAGCAGGAGCAGGGCCCAAGGGCACCGTCTTCCCCACGAGCAGGTTCTCCTCCCTATTGTTCCAGTGCCTCTTCCTGGGTTCACACTTACGTCGTCTGGTGGAGATGGCCTTCCTACACGAGGGTACTCAACAGCACCTGTCACCTGAAGGAGTCCTGACCAGCTCTGTCCAATACCGGTGTGACACGATCCTCCTGTGACCCCTAGTGTCTAGTCACCACATTAAATATAAGAAGATAAGACAAGTAAATTTATATAATAGTATATTTAATGTCAATAAAACAAAATACTATCATTTTCACATGTTAACATGACATTATGAGATATATTACATAGATTTTCATGGCTATCATTGTTATGTTTCTGGAGATTATTATTTGGGACGTGTAGTTGATGGGGAGTGGAATGGGTTCTCTGTTGACCACGGTGGCCTGCAGTAGCTTTTGATATGACAAGTGACGTGTGTTTTACATAGTTCATCACATTTTCATATCTAGTTGGGGTTGTAGAAAGGAGCGACATTTGCAGAAGATGTGGAGGGTGGAGGTGGGCAGCGTCCATCCTGCAGCTCACCCTGTGGGTGCATCTGTGGTCTCTGCATGGGGTGAGGCTGCTCCACCTGCCCCGGGGTTCCCTGCGTGGAGATCTGGCTCCAACTCTCCCTTAGCCCAGAGCACCTGGCATATCGGGCTCCCCTTTCATTCCATAAAAATTCAAGGATCCATCAGATTGAGCATTTCAACATTTACTCTGAAAATTTAGGACAGAAATTAGAGTTTTCAGTGTATCATGGCCCCTCGGGTCCCTGATGGCCCATGTTGGGAACTCCTGGCCATCTTAGACGGGGCTTGCCGGAAGCTGACTCTGGGTTGGAGATTTCCATGCACAGAAGATGTAGGAGTGAGGAGGCCACACTGGGCAGGAGGAGACCTGACTCATGATGCGGTTGCCGCCGAGGCCTCAGGCGTCCACACAGTGAGCTCCGGAGCTGGGAGCCCCTTGATTTGGTGGCATCTTAATTGAGGCAGTCTTGAGATCTTGCTTCATTAAACTGAACCCCTGAGATGGGACATCACCTTGGGGAAGCTTTCTGCAACCAAGAGCCCTTCCCAGTGAGGGCACAGCTCTGAGCTGCTGGGTTCTCAGCGGTGCTAGGTGGTCACATTGAAGAAAGGATCTGGGCTGACCTCACAGTGTTCCCTCTTCTGGTTTGCTCTGTTGGGAGTCACAGGCCTCCATACAGCCTGGAGCCCAGTACCTCTGCAGAGCTGGGCAGTAGTTCTGGGGCCTGATCCAGACAGGTGGTCTAAGGACTGGCCCCATCCTCACCACATGACCATCCAGGGCCAAGTCAGTGGACAGAGGTTGCATCTGTCTGTCTTTCCACCCAGGTCCTCACTCTCTAACTCACACAACAGCCCCAAGTCACCAGATGACTCTGGTCCTTCCAGGCCATGTATATGCCTGATGCATGCTCGGTAGAGACATCTTGAGGGGGCTGGAAGGAAGGGCAGCCTGGGGGCTCAGATCCAGACTCCTGAGGGGGGCTGGAGGGAAGGGCAGTGCAGAGGGGCTCACAGGTGAACTGCCCCAGATTCACTCATGGTTTTATCCACAGGCCTCCCGAGGCTGGAGTAGAGGGTGACAGAGGCTGGGAGGGTGTTTTTGTCTCACTTCCCCATCTGCGTGTATCACTGTGGGATGATTACTACTACTGTCCCACACTTGACAGTAATAGTCAGCCTCATCCCCGGCCTGGACCCCGCTGATGGTCAGGGTGGCAGTGTTCCCAGAGTTGGAGCCAGAGAATCGCTCAGGGATCCCCGAGGGTCGATTGTTATCATCTATAGATGACAAGCACAGGAGACTGGCCTGACTTCTGCTGGTACCAGTAGGTATATTTACCTCCAATGTTGTTTCCCCCACAGGTAATCCTGGCCGTCTGTCCTGGGGCCACTGACACCGAGTGTGGCTGAGTCAGCTCATAGGAGGTCAGCAGAGCCTGCAAAGATTAAAGAAAAAAAAGTAGAGGTTGGGTTGCAGGTGAGACACATTTTCTGAAATCTCTTACATTCTTGTCCTGGACAAGCTCCAGAGAGTCTGTGAACCCTTAGGGTATCCCCTGCAATCCGCCCCAGTCCCAGTGGCCCATGGACTTTCCTGCTGCATGGAGCCTCTGACCTGAAAACCCACTCCTCTCTCCTGGCAGGGGCAACCCCTCAGGCTCTCACAAGCCTTTGAGCAGAGTGTCGGGGACTTTAGCCCCACCAGTCCCTCCCCCTGCAGCAGGTCATGAGCATCCTGCCCATCACAGGCAGGGCCCTGCTGAGCTCAGAGTCAAGGCCACGCTGGACCCAGAGCCCTGGGGCTGGGCAGATTGGTGAGACCCTGGGGGCAGCACCTGTGCAGTGAGCGAGGAGGCCGAGGAGGAGAGGGGTCCAGGCCATGGCTGAGGCTCCCCCGATGCTGCTTCCTGAGGCCCAGGCTGGGCAGGTTCCTCCCAGGCCTCTCTTATCCCCTTGCTGAGAGAGCGGCCCGTGATGCAAATCAGCAGAGTCAGGGCCAGCTGCTGGAGGAGCTCTGTGGTTTCCAGAGAAGGGCTCAGCCCCAAGGGACAGAGAGAGAGAAGGGGTGACCCTGCTTACCCACCCCCTCAGCCCATGGGATTCTTCTTCACCCACTTGATCCCATAGTCTGGGCTGACATCTTTACCCAGATTGTGCCCAGCCTTGCTCCTGGGCTGGGTTGGTCATGGAAAAGCTCAGAGCTGAGTTTCTCTGTATTCTCCAGAGGACATAAACGTTTTCCATTAGAACAGTGATTGGCCTGTTCAAGAGGTTTCCAGAGTCACAGTGGTGGGAGAATGACCATGGGGCCCACAGTCCCCGTCCTCCATTCCATCCCTGCTCAGGAGGCAGGTGGTTAACTTTCTTATACTTCTTCGGGAATGTCCTGATCATAAATCCTTGATGTCAGACATGAGATGTCTGATATAGGCTTAAATGCCCTTTTGAAGACATTCCAGAGCCCAGTGCAGGGACCCTCTTCATTCCCACTCTGCAGGGCACAGTACAAGCCTTGGACAGTTACAAATCCCACCCCAGGGCACGGCTCCTCAATGCTAGAGGAAAATGCAATTCTTGGGTGCTGTGTATACATAGAGTTGTGGAAGATCCATGGGATGTGGTAAATTTCTACCTTGGCTGTGAGTTCTAGTGCCAGGTCATAGGTGCTGTGCCTCAGTATCCCCAGGGTGCTGTCAGGACCAAGGACAGATCAGGAGGTGAAGGAAGTGTTTTCTGCATGAGAGAATGAGAGGAGGCTGCAAACTCCAAGACCCCGGAAGTGAATGTTTATTGTAACTAAGTTGTCTTCAGTTGCTGGGAAAATGTATCAATGGATGAAAACTGAAGTCAACAGAAGATTAATGAGCAAGTATTTTGTGCCTCATGAGGAAATCAAAAGCTGTGATTTGGCAGGATCCCAGGACAGAGTGCACAGTTGCACCATTCAGACAGATACTGAGGTCTTGTCTATTCCCCTTAGAGAACAGGATGAGAATCCGTGCGCATTCGTGTGGGCCAGACAACAGTATACATTCACACCTTCTCTGCCCAGCATCGTTAGCTCTCCCTTCCCTGTCATGATACCATCATGGGGGCTCAGACCATCTTGACTTCATTGTTGAATCATATATACATGATGGGGACGGTCTATTGGAAGCTTTTGTGAGATCCATGCAGTTTTGAGAGTGGGAAATAAACTAAGATGTTTCCTCCTCCATATTAGCTAGCAATTGGGAGTTTCGTTGTCTGGAGCAGCTGAGAATCTCCTACAACATAAAGAACATGTTATTAGATCCTTCAATTCCCCCCAGGAAGAAAGAGACACAAGGACTATAAAGGTCTAGGAGTAGCATATTTACACTTGGGATGTGGCTCCAACATGTATATCAGGAGCCATAAATGTCGCCCACTGTTTTCCGGGCCCAGAGCAGGGGGGGCTCTGCAGCAGGTGCAGGAAGGGTTGGGAGTGTCCTGCTGTTGAGGCCAGAGAATCCAGCAGACTCTACCATGAGAACTGAAACCTTCTGGACATGGCAAACCTCAGTGGAGAATCCAATTTAGACTCACGGGTTTTGGAAGAAGTCCATGTCCGGGGCAGTAGAGTATTATTTCCTTTTGGAAAAACAGCTCCTTTTGTCTTACTGGGCCCTGGGAGATACAGGATCACACTGGACATCAAGTGACCATGTTGCCAGAACTGTCAGATCCCCCCAGTTTTGAGCTCAGGGAGGCCAGCAGTGACCTCTAGTGAGATGGATGTGACATAGGATAGGACGGGGTCAGGGCTCCAGGACTCAGTCACCTGCAGAAACAGCTCATCCACACTCATGTTCTCATTTCTCTTCCCTCAGCACCTCTCCCTGGCTTCACACATATGTCCCTGTGGGTGGACATGGGGCTTGCAGGAGTCAGGTTACTCCAGAGCACCTGCGGCCTGAAGGAGTAAGGCCAGAGCAGCACTGCACAGTCACAGTGTGATGAGAGCCACGTGTGAATCCTACTGTCTACTCACCATGTTAGAGATTTTAAAAAGGTAAACTAGGTTCAGTAATATATTTTATTTAACCCAAAGCATGAAAAATAATTTACACATGCACACAATCTAAAATCACTTATGAAATATTTCATAGACTTTTTATATCTGCTGTGACTGTTATTATTTTGGGAGATTCTTTATGTTGAGATCGTGTGGTTGATGGAGACTTGAAGGAGTCCGATTGACAAGGGTGAGCTGTGGTGGCTTAATAAGTGTCAGCTTTGATCATCTGAAGGAGGGCTGAAAATAATGAAAGTTTGTGCAGGATGTGGAGGGTGGAGGAGGGCAGCTTGCGTCCTGCAGCTTCCCCTGTGGGTGCATCTCTGGTCCCTGCAGTGGGGTGAGGCTACTCTCCTTCCCATGGATTTCTTGCAGGAGGATCTGACTCTACCTCTCCTTCAGGACCCACAGCACCTGGCATGTCAGGCTCCCTTCTGATTTTATAAGAATACAAGAAATACTCAGATATACTTGGGCATTTGGATGTACACAATAGAAATTTAGGAAATTTGCTGGTGAATCTCACTGTATAGTGGCCACCTCAGGGCTACAGTGGCTCATTTTGGTGACAGCTGGCCATCTTAGTTTGGGTTCTTGGAAGTAGACTCTGAGATAAAGATTTGAAGGCACAGAGGATCTGGAAAGAATGAGGGAGGCATCGCCCACAAAGAAGACCCTGACCCAGACTGGGGGTGGCAACTGAGGCCCCAGGCATCCACACCAGGGGATGTGGAGCTAGAAGGCCCTTCAATATCACCTTGCATTAACGCAGGGCTTGGGATCTTGGCCTCATGCAGTCATCACACCAAAACTCTCAAAACTCGGCCTAAATAGTTCGGAAGAAACTTTTCTGGAACCAACAACACATTCCCAGTGAGGGCCCAGCTCTGAGTTTTGAGAACCTCCCAGGGGTTGTGGGTGGGTAATCTCAGAAAAGCAAAACTAGGACAGATGCCACAGCATCCCCTGCTATGTGTTTCCTGTTCAAAATTCCAGGCTTCCATGGAAACCTGGAACCTCACATGTTGAGCTGCACTGGGCATTTTTGGGAACTGATACACGATAGTTGGAAGAATGAGTGACCCAGTCACCATCAAATGGAAATCTCAGGCCAATTGATGGCTATCTCCATCTCTCTGATCTTCCATCTAGTTCTTATTTCCCCAAGTCACTCCTGAGGCCTGAAAACATCAGTAAATTCTGATTATAGCAGCCTTAGATCCACGTCTGCTCCGCCCTCTCCAGAATCAACCTGGAGGGCTGGACAAAAACATGGCCTGGAGGTCTCAGCTCCAGGAGAACGTGGCAAGACCTGCTCATGGCTTTGTCCACAGTCTTTCTGGTGCTGGAGGAAGAAGGTAGCACAGATGGGAAAGGGATTTGCATGTCACTTCCCCATCTACCTGTCACACAGTGAAATTGTCGGTATTCACAGTAAAACAGTAATAGCCTCATCTTCACTCAGAGCCCTGCTGATGGTCAGGGTGGTCGTGTTTCCTGAGGTGGACACAGAGAACCACTCAGGGATTCCAGGGGGCCGCTCACTGTCTTCATACATCACCAGCACAGGGGCCTGGCCTGGCTTCTGCTGATACCAATCAGCATATTCTTCCCTCAATACATCTTCAGAGCAGGTGACCCTGGCTGTCTGTCCTGGGGACAGGACACTGAGGGTGACTGTATCAGCTCAGGAGGCCACAGAGCCTGCAAGAGAAGACAGGAGAGGGGTCATGAAGACAACAAACAGATTTCCAGCCGTGTACCCTGAGGCTATGCTCAGGATTCAGGACAGAACTAGCTCAGGGGCCTGCAAGGGTGGAGCCTGGGTCAGGCTCTGAGGGCAGCAACTGTGTAGCGAGTGAGGACAGAGAAGGGGAGGAACCCAGGCCATGTGAGACACCGGAGCTCTGTGTCCTGAGTCCACAGCCGGGCTCCCCAGACCTCCCTTATTTTCTCTCAGGCCTGTTGGGGCAGCGCATGTTTGGTGTTTATGCGAAGTTAGTTCTCTGGCACTCCTCCTGGTGGGATGCCACTCAACCCAGCTCTGGGGACAGCACAAGAAACTGAAAAAGAAAGGATGAGTCCTCAGCTTCCTCCATCTGCTTATCTAGTCAGAAATCAGCCTTGGCCTCCAAGACCTGTGATCACAGTCACCTTCTTGGGGAGTGACAACATGGCCCCTGTCCCAAACCTCTGTGTCCTGTGGTCTGTCCCGGGCCACATTGAGCCGGGCTGTAGATGTGGTTACTGCAGCCCCAGGGGACTCAATGCACTGTCCCGACTTCTAGTCTGAGGGCTAATCCTTAAACACCTGTTGAACCCTAGTCTGGCCTCCTTCTTAGGCTCCACCTGAGCCTCCCCAGCTGGTCTCCTGGCTGCTCCTGCCTGCTGCTCTGCTGCCCCCTGCTGGTGGAAGTGATCATACCACCAGCGTCCCTCCTCCAGGTGACCTGTAGCACCTGCCACCGCTACCTTAGAGGGTGTGGACCAGGGGTCCGCAATGGATGAAAATTACAAACATACATCTTTTTGAGCCAGCAATTTCACTTTTAGAAATGTATCTTATGGTCGTATTCACACATGAACTCAAAGGAGGCTGCGTAGGGATGATCAGTCACTGCCCTGTTCTTTCTAAGACCAAAGTTGTGGCGATGCCATTAGAAGGATGTTGGCTACAATTCTACCCACAGTGTGGGAGACAGGGATGCATTTAGGGTGAAGACATCCCAAAAAACGTTCAGTGACTGCACCCATCAGACAGCTCGTTGTCACTGTCCCTGTGAGTGAAGAGCTAGGAAGAGCTGCACATTCAGAGCCCACGACACGCAAGCATCAGGAAGCTGTTCCTGTGCTGGATGAGAAACACAGAGCAGGTTCACTTTTGGAATTCATGGTGGGAAAAGAGAGGGGCTGAGAGAGGGGAACTCTCAAGGCAGCGATGCAAGAAGCCCTTGCACAGGGTGAGGAAGCATCTTCAGAGCAAGGAGCGAGCCTGAGAGCCCAGGGCAGGTTTTGGTCTCAGTTCCCCATGAACCTGGACCACTGTGGAAAGTGTAGCTGCCTGCATATGAGCTGCAGTAATAATCAGCCTCGTCCTCAGCCTGGAGCCCAGAGATGGTCAGGGAGGCCGTGTTGCCAGACTTGGAGCCAGAGAAGCGATTAGGGACCCCTGAAGGCCGACTGCTGACATCATAAATCATGAGTTTGGGGGCTTTGCCTGGGTGCTGCTGGAACCAAGACACAGCATTATAACCCCCAACATCACTGCTGGTTCCGGTGCAGGAGATGGTGACCGACTGTCCAGGAGACCCGGACACTGAGGGAGGCTGAGTCAGGGCAGACTGAGCCCAGGATCCTGGAAAGAGGAAGAAACACACTCTGGTGAGTCAGTGCTGGGTGCTGGTGAGCCTGAGGAGGAGACCCAGGATCACCCAAATGTCTCTGAGGCCCCATCCCTGGAGACATCACCTGTGCCCTGAGTGAGGAAGGTGAGGAGGAGCAGAGCCCAGGCCATGGTGGGGACGTCCTGAGAGCGCTGCCTCCAGAGACCCCAGCACTGGGCCTGGCCACAGCCCTGTCTTACTCCCTCTGCCCCAGAGGAGGGCGGGGCCCCCATGCAAATCTGCATCCTGAGAGCCCCTCCCCATCCCACCTTCGCCTGGGCCTGGGCTCCGGCACAGAGACTTCTATTTCTCTGGACAGTGAAACTCATATGAAAAGATTAAAGTCCTTGTTTGTCTACTGTGATGGCAGGAAATTTCATTTTTTTGTACCTGATTTGCTCAGGAGAGAAAGATCTGCGGAAGCCCCTCACCTGAGTGAGCACCTGTTTCCATTTTGCTGTGATTGACGTGTCAGGTCACAGAGATGCCTGTTTCCTGCTTTCTTGAGTTCCCCCATCTGAGCACATCCTCAGGGCAAACTAAAGCTGACCTCCCTAACCCTGCAACACTGCAGACACACTGACATTTGATAAACACATTTTGGTTTCTTCCTCAAACTACTTTTAATCTCTTTTCATCTTTCCCCAATGCCTATGAAAATTCTTTTAATGTTTCGTATTAAAATAAATATGAACGGATTCAGATTTAATTTAAATATTATAGCATACACTATCCTGTCTTCCCACGTAGATTCTTCCCTGAAACCATGGCAGGTGCACGGAGCAGCTCTCTGAGCACCAGGAAAGGAAATGGCCGTGCGCAGCAGTTTGGGATGGCCGCAGCAGATGAACTTCAACAGAGTCAGTGTGAGACTCCTGGATTTCCTCAGTGTCCCCAGGCTGGGATTCCAGACAGCCCCAAACCTGAAGGGGCACAAACCTGAAAACAAAAAGAAGTCCAGAAAGCCCTCTTGTTCAGGATTGAAGATAGGAAAGGAAACTTATTTGGTTCAAAGTGAAGGCTCAGTCCCCTGCACACGGAGTGGGTCACCGCTGTGGTCTCATCTCTCTTACACCAGCGCCTCTCCCTGGGTTCACACTGATGTCCTGTGGGTGGACATGGGGCTTCCTGCACCAGGTCACTCCACAGCCCCTGGACCCTCAAGGGGGAGAAAACCAGCACTGTTCAGTCCCAATATGATGTGAGCCTCATGGGAATCCCACTGTCTGGTCACGGCATTAGAAATACAAAGAAGTAAATGAGTTTAAGTAATATATTTTATTTACCTAGCATATCAAAAATAGTAACACTTTCATACGTAATCTAAGGACAATTTTTATGAGACATTCTTTATGTTTTTCATGGCTACTATTATTATTTTGTGAATAATTTTTAGACATTGTGTAGCTGATGGAGATGTCAATGGGTTTCCTGTTGACAAGGTTGGATCGTGGTGGCTTTTTAAGTGTCAAACTTCATAGGCTGAAGGAGGGGTAAAAAGAATGATTTTTTGCACAGGACGTGACAGGGTAGAGGTGGGCAGTGCCCATTCTGCAGCTCACGCTGTAGGTGCATCTGTGGTCCCTGTGTGGAGTGAGACTGTTCCTCATGCCCCGGGTTTCCTTTCAGGGAGATCGGCCTCCAACTCCCCCTTGGATCCCAGAGCACCTGGCGAGTCAGACTCGTTTTCATTCCACATAGATGCAAGAAAGACTCAGATCTTACTGGGCATTTGGATACCCACAATGCTAATTTAGGAATAAACTGGTGCTTTCCAGTGTACAGTGACCTCCTGAGGTCCTGCATGGCTCATGTTGGGGATTGCTGGTTATCTTCATTCGGGTTCCCTGGAAGCAGACTCTGAGATGGAGAACTGCAGGCACAGAGGATGTGAAAGGAGGTGAGGGAGGCAACACTGGCCAGAAGGAGACTCTGACCCACATTGAGGCCTCTGTCAACCCTACAGGGAGCTGTGGAGCTGCGAGGATTTTCAGGTCCTTCTATATTGAGGCAGGGTCTTGAGCCTGAGCTGGGCATTTCTGGGGGCTGATCCAAGATATTCAGGCCAAGGACTGGTTTGTCATGACCTGTGGAAATCCAGCGACCAACTGATGGATGTCCACCTCAGTCTGATGATCCAAATCATGTCCCATTTCCAGGTGAACTGGGCCAGCCCCGCTCATGACTCTGTCCACTATCTTCCTGGCTGGAGGAAATGTCCCATCCTGGTCATTTTATCTAAATGATGTATGTGTCATTAGCACACTTGTTAACTATTTCAGTGAGGATGGTTGAGTCACTTAAGGAACCACTCACACATGTGGTCGTCAGGACGTCTGCTCTCATTTCACCCATGGCTCTGATCCTTCTAGGTCATGCCCATCCCAACTGCAGACCAGCCATTACCACCCTCAGCTCTGCCATTGTTTATTCATTTTTCCCGTCGGTATTTTACGTGAACTTGTAAAAAGCACCAGCAAAACACCAGGGTTTGAGTCCAGTGTGGTTTTCCTGTGCTTTTTACAGGTTTACATGAAATACTAATGGAAAATCCACTTGAAGCCTCATGGTCTCTGTGAGCATCCAGGGACACAGCCTTTGCACAGGGCACGGGCTCTGCCGGGGTGGTGAGCCCTGGTCCCTGCAGTGAGGTGTATCCTGTCACTGAGCCAAGACCACCTGGTGGCCAGAGCTGTGGCCTGAGGCAGGAGAGAATCCCCTTCCCTGTGGAGAGCATCTGCTCAAGGAGGCTGGGGAGGCCCCATCCAGGAACCAGGGCCATGAATGCGCCACCCCACCCACCTGAGACTCTGCTGAGCATAGGAGCTGACCCTGAGTCAGAGTCTGCCTGGAGTTGGAAGGAAAGTCAGAGGCAGAAGAGGTGTGTGAGGTCTCTGGAAGGTGCCCAGGACTGAGGGTTCAGCTCCCCAGAATGCTGCTGGACAGAGAGGGACAAGACCCTGAGAGTGACAGGAGGCTCAGGCAGCCATTCTGGGTGAAGAACTCTAGCCCTGGGAGCCCTGCCCCTCACACTGTGCCCCCCTCCTAGTGCACCTCGACCTCAGTGGGCGTCTCACAGAAAATCGCAGCCCTGTGGGAGCTGCCCAGGCTGGCACCAGTGCCCAGCGCCTCCAGCTGCATTTCCCAGCTGAGGCCCTCACTCTGTCCGGGCTCCTGTCGGTGTCCTGGGTGACTGTGTGAGTCTGACCCTCAGGACGGGTTACTGCAGCCCGAGGGGATACGAGGCACCTTACTGGACTTCCAGACTCAGGACTGATCCTTGGACACCTCTTGAGCCTTCAGGGCTGGCCTCTCTCTTAGCCTCCTCCTGGGCAGACCCAGCCTTTTCTGTCCGCAGCTCTGCTGCCCCCTGCTGGTGAAGAAGACGGAGCCCAGGAGCTTCCCTCCTCCAGGTGACCCCAGAATGCCTGCCACCTGGGAGGGCAGGGATCATGGAGTTAGTCAGTCTGTGCCACATGTGAACCCCTCTGGCTCAACACAGAGAGGAGGCATATATGGTTGTGAGGAGGTGAGGCGGGTGCAATTCTGATAACCGAGTCTCAGGTTGAAATGCTCTTCTCTGTTCCACGGTTTTTGATCACAGAATGGAGAGTGCAGGATAAACTGTGGCTCTTCTGTGAGAAACATAAGTCCGGAGAAATGCGGCCATTCCCACATGCACTCCTGCTCCCCAAGTACATAGAAAAGAAGATTGATTTTCTCACCCGGATGGAAACAGCTGCACTGTAATTGGGAGCGCCTGACATTTGTGCCACTAAACCTCAGTTGTGTACTTAAACCATCATCACCACCATTGTCATTATATGGTTTCTATTAATCATAGCAACAAGAAGATTAAAGTAAAAAGTTACGACCGTGACTAGGTGGGGCCTTTCAGTGTTCAAACCACAAAGGAGAAACTCAATAGCCTTCCCTGCAACTGCTGCTGAATTTGCATTTATTTTTTGTTATAACCTTAAATATTTATCAAAAGTTAACAATTCAGTGATTCAAATTAAGATACCTTTTCTCCACAAGATGTTGATCATTTTTATGTATTTGACATGAAACTGTGCTGCTTCTTGCTAGGAGGCCTTCCCTCCTCTACAGGAATAATCAAAATTGGTTTAATCAACATGAGGCCCCTGCTGGATCGCAGGCCCCCAGTGGACTCCTAGGCCCCAGGTGCACATCAGGCGCAGGTGTGCGAGCAGGCCCTGGGTGGACTTCCCTGTACACAGGTAAGGAGTTGACCTGGGGGGAGAGTGAGCAGCCAGCAGCCAGAGGATTCTGAGTAGGTCTTATGGAAGGAAGGGGCCGAAGGGATGGAACCTTAAAGAAGTGACTTCACATCCTTAGTGACAGACACTAAGAGGACTTAGAACTCTGGTCACCAGGCACCCACATCCTTAGAGACAGCCCCGTAGCCAGCTCCCGTGGTGGGAGATGCTCAGGAGAGCGAGATGTTCTCATGCTGCATCCCCACATGTCAAGACTCCTGCTACCAGTAGGCCCAGGGTGAGAGCCATTTACCAAGATGCCGAGGCAGCCTTATTCCTCGCCCCGAGTGCCATTGGCCATTTGGCCAAAGGCATCCCTAGGTACCACAGGGCAGCCCAGAGCAGGGCCTACCAGGCCAGGCCTCACAAGTGATCCCATCGGGGTCACATGTGCACATTGACCTTGTCCAGCTGGACCCTCTGGAGTTCATTGAGGCACAGGCGTGCAGTGACAGGGCCTATAATCTCAGAGACTTTCTGGGGGCTGTGTTTTCAGGCTGGATTTCCTTAAATTCAGTGAGGTTGTTTCCGTGTGTGGAAATCCCAGTGGAAAATGACTGTCATTGGTGTTGTTCTTTTTCAGCTCCTGCTCCATGTGCAGCAATATAGGACCTTCCAGGGCCAGCTGATAAGCCAGTGCCAGCACCAAAGGAAGAGCCCCCTTCAGGGGCAGAACAGGAGCTAGAGGCAGCTCCAGAGCCCTCCTGCCCCTGCCCTGACCCTGCCAAGGACCAGCCTAGTGAGGAGCTGCCTGACGTCATGGCACCTGCTATAGCCACTGCCCTCAGCCCTGGAGCTGAAGGTAAAAGAGAGGGTGTAGCCATTATGGCCCCAGCCAGCAGCACCCCTGCTGCTCTCAGTCCTGGGCACTGTGGGAGACATGGAGGCCAGGACCGGGTGTGCAGCTGGGCTCCTCTGCCTCAGTGGAGACAGGCTCCTGTCATCTGGCTGAGCTGCAGCCCTGCAGCGGAAGGACCTGTTGCTGTTGCTGCTGCTGCTGCTGCTGGGATTGTTTGCTGCCTGCAAGAGGTGCTGAAGAGCAGGAAAAGAAGCCTGGCAGGAGGGCTTCCAGTGGCTCCTCCTGCTCCCAGAATCGGCAGTTTCCTTTAGGTATGGAGGTCTGCGTTCAACTGGGTATTTGGACAAATGGCCCCTGAGGTGCTGCCCAGGCTGGGCTCTTCTTCAAAGGTGAGCTGGGAGTCAGGGGGCCAGGGGGCATCTCCGAAGGGTATAGAGACTGAAGCTTCCAAACTCAGTACTTGTGCCCCAAAATCTCCGTGCCACTACCTGTGATAGAATTTACTCATAGTGCTAGAATTAGAAGTTTCTCCATGACATTTAAATGAGGTTTGACTTTTTGAAACTTCATGTCTTCTGTAACTCCTTAATGTCAGATGGTGTTTTTGAGGCTATCCTGAAAATCCCTGACAGTTGTGTCTCTTTGTTGTGGTGGTTTGTGTGATTGAATTACCTTCTAATCAACTGTTACTGGAAACCCTTCAGGCACGGCTTTTAGAAGATCTTGACCTACTTTCACTTGTTTTTACTCTCTGGTTTATTGTGGAAAGAGGGATCACGTAGCTTCATTCCTCCTGCAGATCAATTGCCTTTTGCCATCAAAGATTTGGCATCAGAGAGTTTCCAAAAATTACGTGTACAAGTTGATGTGTTGGTACTTTAGGTAATCTGGGTGCCAAAGCAGAACGACATAGACTAGGTCGTAGAGAAATAATTTTATTTCTCATGTTCTGGAAATAGTAAACCAAGGTCACATGGTCAGCAGATGTCATGTCTGGTGAGAGCTTGCTCCTAGTTCATAGACTACCATCTCTTTACTGTGTCCTCACATAACAGAAGGAATCAGGGAGCTCGCAGCAGTCCCTTTGATAGGGACACTGATTCCATTCATGGGGACTCTGCTTTCCTGACCTAATCACCTTCCAAGGCCTCACCTCAAAATCCTATTGCATAGG